CCCAGGCCCCGAGTCCCGCCCTGCGCGCAGGCGCAGCGGCGCTGCTTGGGTCCGCCCTTTTCGGAGATTTGAATTTTCCCCAGCGAGGCGAGTGAGGCGAAATACCCGTATGGTGATCGCTGGCCTTTTCGCGCCAATACTGTAAGTGCTTACCGCAGCCCCGGGAGGTGGGTCCCAGCCTCGCCCCCACGTTCCGCCGCCTCCAGGAGGCCGACCGGGCGCGGCGGCGGCGGCGGCGGCGGCGGCGGCATCTTCTCTGCCACGCGCAGGCCGCAGCGCGGGAACCCAAGCTGCTGCCCGCGAGCGGCAGTCGCCAGTAGAATTGGACAGACAGGTCCTGTAAGAGCCTGTGGCTTTTGTTGTAAACGTCTAGAGGTTCAATTAAATTACAAGATCTACCAGATCTACCGGCGAGCAGAATTATTACTTTGAAGTTACTGAAGTTATGCGTCCTGCTGGAAGACCTTGTAATTTAATGCGTTAGTAAAGAAGCACATATCACTGTCTCACACATTTTCAACAATATTTTTAAAGTCGCCTGTCAACATATTACATGAATTTTGTAATCCTCTGTGTTTTAGTTCATGCAGTTGGAAGTATCCATTTGAGAAGGGACAAAGAGAAGAATTCCTGCTTGTCTGGCTGTGCCACCACCTGCTCTTTGTGATCTTGGATAGTTACCTCACTTCTATGTCCCCAAGTCCCCCACCCATGTAAATAAGAAAACTAAGGCTTGACGCGTTGGCTCATGCCTGTAATCCCAACACTTTGGAAGGATGAGGTGGGAGGATCGCTTGAGCCTAGCCGGGGCAACATAGCGAGACCCGGAGGCATGGTGGCACACGCCTGTGGTCCCAGTTACTTGGGACGCTGAAGTGAGAGGATGGCTTGAGCCAGGGAGTTCAAGGCTGCAGTGAGCTGAGATCGCGCCACTGCTCTAGCCTGGGCGACAGAGCAAGACCCTGTCTCAAAAAAAAAAAAAAAAAACCACACACATACACACACAAACAGCTGCTGGTTTCCAAGAGCCTTGCCTGGAATCAGTCCAGAAGCCAAATTAATGTTAATTGATGTCCCTTTATCCACAGAATGCAAGGAAGGTCATCCGGGGGGGACATAACTAACCATAAATGCTAAAGGCCTGGAGGTGACAGTGCCTGCTGTTTAAATGTGTGGGGGAGAGTCTGGGGCCTTTAGCCAGGAGATTGTCAGGCTTTCCAGGGCTTCCCTGAAAGACCCCAGACCCAGGGGCCAGTGCTGTTGAGGTGTTGGCCTTCCCGTGCCAGGAGCTGGGGGAAGCTGTGATGAGATTTGAGTGTCACATAATAAGGATCATGGCAATTCAAAGGTACAGGGAAGCTAGGCTATAAGGTAACCAGCTCGGTTTTCCTGGGGGTCTTGGACAGGTGCTTTGATTACATTGTCTCTGTCAGCCTGTATCCCGGGTCAGGTAGACTGAACCCCTGCAGCCGGAAAGAGGAGTTGCTTTCCATGTCTTTCCTGGAGTTCCTCCTTGATCCAGTTGACAGTGTTTGACTCCTGTTCCAGCTCTCCGCCCTGCTTGCTGGCAGGCAGGAGGGTCAGGCTAGCACCGGTGCCATGGAGCCCTAGGTGGGTGCAGGGAAGGACCTGTAGACATCAGGTGGGGCCTCAGCTGGTGTCTCAGCTGGAGTCAGGCGCTGAATGGGGAAGTGCCTGAGAGGAAATAACAGCTGAGTCAAGGGCAGTGGCCAGGCGCAGTGAGCAAAGGGCTTTCAGGACAGAGCTGGGCCTGAGGAGCTCACAGGGCTGGATGGGGATGGCACTTTAAGTCTGGCCAAGACTTTGGGACATGATCCAGGGCATGGAATGGGAAGCTGGTCATGGAAGGGTGGAAAGCCAGGGCAGACATGATCCCATCCAGGACTGCTCAGCAAAGATGCTGGGGCTGCTGTGTGCACACTCCTGGACCCAGAGGCTTTTTTGACTGGGAGGAGGGTGCAGGAGGAGTTCGGGTGCTCCATGCTGAGATGGCAGGCTTTTTTTTTTTTTGAGATGGAGTCTCGCTCTGTCACCCGGGCTGGAGTGCAGTGGCCGGATCTCAGCTCGCTACAAGCTCCGTCTCCCGGGTTCACGCCATTCTCCTGCCTCAGCCTCCCGAGTAGCTGGGACTACAGGCGCCCACCACCTCGCCCGGCTAGTTTTTTGTACTTTTTAGTAGAGATGGGGTTTCACCGTGTTAGCCAGGATGGTCTCGATCTCCTGACCTCGTGATCCACCCGTCTCGGCCTCCCAAAGTGCTGGGACTACAGGCTTGAGCCACCGCGCCCGGC